TGTGTGAATCATCCCTAAGCCACCGCTCAGGTTTGTACTCCAGGGGATCATCGAACAATTCTGGATTACGACCCATGACATAAATTGGGGTACGTATCATTGTCTGTCCAGGAAATAAAAGACAAATAAATTTATGAAATGAATGATCTTGGGCCGATTTTAAGGACTGCATAGAGTTTAGCAAACTTCCGAACTTCTCTTTTTGGTGGCACAACCGCAAGCAACTGTTGCATTCTACGTCTTGCAACAGGTCGACCAACACCTTAACACAAGATTTGTCGAACACGCATTGACAGTTCTTTGCAAACGTTTACAAGTCTTGAGATGCCTGCGGAAATCTTCGAAAATGTTTGGACGTCTTCGGTGATTTTGACAGGTGGTTTCGGTTTTAAAAAGTTCCGAATATTGGACTTAAATTGAACCTAAAGTAACTTTTAAAACAGCTAGGAGCGAGCCATGTTGTCTCGTCGTAAGGAGAAAAAGATACAATTTTGGGGGCGCAATTGTAAACTCTCATTTGTTTGCTTCTCTTGCGTTGGTCGACGGGTTAAGAAAAAAGAGGGAATCTTTGGTGTCTGAAGACATTGTCCACTACAGCAAAGTCTTAGATCAGTAAAACTTTCAGTTGTTAAACTGACTTACATTTGGCGGTATCCGGTAGCCTTGGATGACAATGTCTTCTTTAAGAATGCGAGCGTTTTCCCAGGCCGCAGGAACCATCCTGGGGCAAAAAAATAAATAAATAAAATAAAAATAAAAACAAAATAAAAAATTAAAACTCAGTTTAACTAACCGATGAACACCGTTGGGTAACAGAGCTTGTAAAACTAAATGATGTTCATCACGGATTTGAAAGCCTCACCAAGGCAGGCAGAGATCCACCAAGGTGTCCTTCAACCCTGAAAAACAGACGACTAAAACACTTGCACCTTCCTGATAAAAACAAAACTCCCCTCCCCTCAAACCCGTGAAACCGCAACTGTTTAAACAGGGCCCATAATAACCGGGGCTGTTACCCAGAATACTATGAAATATTGTAATTATCATTGTAAAGGTAACTTCACAAATTTCCTTCGAAGCCAGGACAACTATGGGAGACGCACGCATCTTCAGTTTCAGGGCGTTGTCAATTTGTTTCCAAAGGCAGTACACTGCATGGGCTGTACATCCCACAAGCAGGGAAGCAGGGGAAAATAAATTTCCCCGAGAATATTGAGGACACTACTGTGCAAAAAAGTGCGTTATTATGTTTATCTGATGTGGGCAGTATATTTATATCCGTGATAATGTGGCAGATATATTGGTACCGTACCTTAGAGTCTCCTTGATGCATCCCCTAAGAAACGGCATTTTCTGTAACGTCGCAGGAGTGGCAAGTTCGTCAGGTTGCAGAACCGAGCTTACCTCCTCATAAAGCTGTTTTTGCACGTCCGGATTCCTTGCAAGCGAGTACAGCGTCCACAGGGTCGTGTTTGAGGTCTGTAAAATACAACCACATGAATAAATCAGTCATCAGAATGTATTGTAAATTTATCTCCCAGCTATCTATCACTGGCTCAACAAGCTCTCAGCTTTGAAGTGCTCATATGCGTACATTATGTTTATGTCTCCTTTCCCAGATGCAATTAAATACAACTTAATGAAAAAACTATAGTCAATTATTTGGTCAACAGCCGAGCTTTGTTTGCAAAGAGCGCCC